TTTTTTTTTTTTTTTTTTTTTTTTTCCTTCAATCTATAGCCTCTCATTTCATTGCAACAAAAAGTGGAATAAACGAAGCATAACTTACAAAACTACTATAAGTTTGTCTTCACAATTCATCCTTCACGTCAGTGGTGCCGACGCTGCTGCTCTTTGGGCTCTCTTTGGCATCATCACCAGATTTGCCTTCTGAACTCGAAACTGGCTTCTGTAGCTTAAAAGGGATTGATGCGTTTTTCTTCAGGAATTTGTAAAAGGCCACGACTGTCCGATCGGTTTCGACTGTGATCTAGAAACCAAAATGGATTCGATCACTTCTCTAGAGCAAGCGGTGCCGTGGTGCAAGAGTAAAGTGAGAATAAGAACTGATAGATGATATAATGATGTTTACTTACAGGATCAAAGCTCTTGTTTCCAGCAGGGAAGAACAGAATTGTTGGGAATCCATCTGACTGTTAAAGAGAAAAGGAAGAGCAACTCTGTAAGAAGTTTACGTTGAACATCATCATAGGTTTAAAAGATTATATGTTCCATCCAGATTCCAGAATATAGAGACAGGTGAATTATGGCAAAGAGAGAGAAAAAAAAAATGAAAGGTGAGTAAAATCAAACCAACCATCAGCTATTTTCTAATTGTATTAGTTGAGGATGGTTAAAGAGATGATCATGGATTTTTAAGTAAAGAATACATCTCTATTGATATGTGGCATTTTTATTGCTGTGGAGAGTCGTGATTCATAACATGGTATCAGAGTCATGCCCTTAACTTAACTATGTCAATGGGATCCTCAATTATCGAACAAAAAAGTTGTGAGCCTCGAAAGTATAGTCAAAAGTGACTTAAGTGTCGAATAGAGGATGTCCTTTGGTCGAGGGCTCCAGAGAAGGAGTTGAACCTCGATTAAGAGGAGGTTCTTCAAGGACTCCATAGGTCTCAGGGGAGGCTCTATGGTATACTTTGTTAAAGAGGAGGATTGCTGAGAATTGTTAGGAAAGAAGTCTCACATTCGCTAATTACGAGGATGATCATGAGTTTATAAGTAAGAAATATTGCACTATTGTTACGAGGCCTTTTTGAAGAAATAAACAATAATGTCACGAGAGCTTATGTTTCAAGTAGATAATATCATATTATTATAGAGGTCTGAGATTCCTAACCCTATTAATTGTATTAATTAATAGCATACCAACAAAAGGTAACAAAATCATGATACCTTTGCCCGGGGATGTTCGTTTGTTGAGCCATCCATCTTAGCAATGACAAGTGAATCGATGCCATGTAGATGTTTGGCAAGCTTGTTGTAAGTTGGTTCCAGCGCTTGGCAATGCCCGCACCAAGGGGCATAAATCTGGACAGGAAACCTAAATCAGTATACAAATAACAACCATGAGAAGGAACATCTAAATGCTTGTTGGTTTACTCGGTACCTCGAGGAGAACATCCTTTGATTCATCTAAAACAATTTCATTGAAGTTGTCTCCAACCACTATTTTCACGTCGCCATCATTCTGCATGAATTAAGGGAACATCTAAATGCTTGTTGATCGAATGGGAAGTAAAGTTATACTGTCAGGGCGAGTGAGTTAACTCAACTTACGGTCTCAGGAATGGGATCTGACTTGTAAAAGGGTTTCAGCTTGTCTTCCAAGAAATTTTCTCCAAAAGCCTATAAGAGTGATTGGGATGAGCAGAAAGAATAAACAAGGTATTCTTTATAGGGAATAGGAAGGAAGATGAATTGCCGGACCTTAATATTTTCCAAGGTAACTTCCTTATCAAGCACAAATTTTCTGCTGTCCTCATTAACAGTGTAGCCAAGAACCTATATAAAATAAAATTTAAACTTCCCAATCTCAAGCTTGAAAGTTATGCAAGCATGTCCTTAGTCGTATCTGGAAATACTTATAGGAGAGATGATGAAAAAGATCACCTGTGGACCATTTCCACTGATGCCAAAGTATTCTGATACAGGCTTTCCAACATCTTCATTATCAATTTCCACATAAACGAAAATAATCTGCATCAAACACACAAAAATTTAGAAAGAAAATGCAGAAACCATCCCTTGGACTGAAAATTGGTGCAACTACAATACAGAGATCCAGCAGAAAAATGCATCTCACAGTTCCTAGTTAATATCTACAAGAAACAAATAAGGCAATTTGCTGAATTTACGGGCTAATGGAAGCATATATTCCTGGCCATTGAGCCTGACCGTTGAGGATTATTGGGAGTGAGTCCCACGTTGATTAATTTAGTGGAAGATCATGGGTTTATAAGTAAAGAATACTATCTCCATTGGTATAAGGCCTTTTGGAGAAGCCCAAAGCTTTGAGTGATCAAACAGAGAGTATGAGTGAAGACAAAAGTTTAGCAAATATCCCGCATTTCAATGGTCACTATGATTATTGGAATGAGCCAATGGAAAATTTGCTCAAAGCAAAGGGTCTATGGAGTGTGGTGGAGATTAGTTTCTCAGAACCAGAGGAAGGAACAATGCTGACGGAGCATTACTATGATTATTGGAATGAGCCAATGGAAAATTTGCTCAGAGCAAAGGGTCTATGGAGTGTGGTGGAGATTAGTTTCTCAGAACCAGAGGAAGGAACAATGCTGACTGAGGAACAAAAGGACCGTGATGAGGCTAGACTCAAAGATTACCAGGTTACTTTCTCAATTCAGGGATAAAAATATGTAGTTACAATACCTTATTCTGTTCATAGTCAAAGTTAGAGCTACTTATTAGCAATCCAATTGTTGGGGTGGGAACCTGGGAAAGCTAATTATTAACGATCTACTTATCAACAATTATACCTTTCCTTTAAAAGACTTTGCTGATTCTTCAAATATGGGGATGAGTCTCTCTGAATCATTTGAACTTGCAAATAGAATTAACTGGGCACAGAATGATACAAATGTGTCAATGATACAGGAATCTAGAGATGAACTTCATAGACAAAGGCGTTTCTAGGTGATAGCCATTTCAAGGAGCATGTTTATGCTACAATACCTGTTTCTTAATTGAACTTTCGAAAATCAATGGTGCGCTTTCTCTAGTAAACTTTGTAACTAAAGGAAGCTTATTGGCAAATACAAATTCAGCAATTGCAGACTTGGAAAACTCGCCATCTGTATCACAACGAAGCTCAGAAATCACAATCCAGCCAAAATATATAAAATAAGGGAATCAGAACCTTGAAGTGATTGATAAAAACAAAAGTAATAATCTAACCAAAGCGGCTCAGTTTTTCAGTCTCCTTCTTAATCAATACAAATGCAGGGCGTTTTGCTGAAGCTTCAATGTGGAAAAGCCTTGCCACTTCAGGATTCACTGTTTGGTAAAAGTTGACATCATCTTCCAGTCTTGAAGCAGCAGCAAGCTCATCGCTCTCAGAACCCTGTCAAATTGCATCACTAGATCGTGAAGAAAATAGCAAGTATCCGTACAGATTTATCCATTGAGCTACAGAAACTACAGCAACAGTTCATGAAGTTAATCGAAGAAAATGCCATTCCATTCCAATCAAAGGTCATAAATACAAGCATATAAAGTGAAAAACGCATACAAGAAACAGAACCAGGTAAACTCACCACCAAGGAGTTCAGGTAACCAACAGCAACTTTACTTTCAGAGTTCAGAATGCGTTCAGCGTCTTCCACTGAAGTTATATTGTAAATACCAGGTCCGATCTTCTTCTTGATCCAGGAAACTATAGCATCCCTGCAAAAAGACGTGGTAATTATCGTAAACAGAGAACACACACAGATCAAGGATGTAAAATAACGTTGACTCATGAACACATTTGTTGCAAACAGTTCCATTACCTAGAACGCGAAGTAAAAGAAACAAATCTACAGTCGAGCATTCGCTCCATTTCCAATCCATAAACAAAGCCAGACAAATCTTACAACTCAGTACACTTACTTGGTCCTCTGTCCAGGATAAGGTTTGTGAACTCCATCAGAGAAGAAATAAATAGTAGGATATCCTTGAACATCATACTTCTGCGCCAATTCGTCCTCCTCCGTCGCATCAACCTTCGCCAAAACCACGTTCTTGCTCTTCAATTCAGTGGCAGAAGCAGCATATTCCGGCGCCAACGCCTGACAATGTCCACACCATGGTGCATAAAACTCCACCATAACAAACCGGTTCTTCTCCACGAAATCGCTGAAGTTACCCTCCTTCAAGACGACGACGTCCTTGTCATCCACCACCGGCGCCTTGTACTCATCCCTATCACCCTCCGAGTCCTCGAACTCGGACAAGTCCCCAAAACCTTCATCCACAGCTCCTCCTTCAAACTTATCAAAATCAGGGAGGTGATGATGACTGGAAGCATGAGTCTCATCCGCCTCCTCCAGGAAGCTGATGTCTTCATCGTCGTCTTCAGTGCTTTTGGCAGCCGAATCTTTGGCAGGGGAGTCTCCAATACAGAGAACGGAATTGGAGAAGAGAAGAAGAGCAGCCATGACAAGAAGAAGAAGAGTTCGAGTAGCCATTGTGACGCAAATTTCGGGTTCGAATCAGATCTGTGTTTAGAAGGGACTATAGAGCGGGTACCAAAGGTCAATGGCTCAAAACGACGACGTTTAGTAGATTAGAAACTTAACGGTCGAGCTGAAATGGAAGAGCTTTTGATTGGCTAATTATTGTCACTTTTAATTTATTTATAAACATAAAACTCGGGAACTCTCCAAAATAAATATAATAATAATCTATGTAATATATATATATATATATATAATTAATTAATTAAATAAATAATCTACATTTCATTAATGTATTTAAAATATAATTTAAAAACTAAAAAAATATAATTTTTAAAAATTTGCTTAAAAATTAAAATGGGTTTCCTAAAAAAGAAAAGTGAAAATTTTTGGGAAAAAAGACCTACACAATATTTTAAAATAAAATAAAAAAAAACTCAATATTTTTTAAATTAGTGAATATTTTTGTATTAATACATTAACGTATTAAATTTAAATTTTTAGTTTATGTTAATAATTTTTTTTAACAATAATTAAAAGACGAAAATATTTGAATATCTAACAAAATTCTACTCGCGACTCAAAAATAAATCTTAATCTTGCTTGTGCACAGGAGATTAATGCAAAATTCTACATTTAAGATATGACAAATTATGTCGTGCAAATCAAGCACGAAACACGTAAAACCCTAAAGCATTTAGGTGTCGAGGAAGTCGTGCGCTAAATGAAATTAAGGAGAAAAGGGCGTATGTGGACGGAGGGGCATTTTAGTCTTTTTACATGGATCGAAACCGAAACTAGGTTGCATCTTCTCTCTTTCGTTCTTCACAGTCTACATCTAGATCGAGTATGTGAGTTGCGCAATCTTTCTCGTTGAGTGATATCTGATATATCAATAATATGCATCTTCCCTCTTTCGTGCTTCACGTTCTACATCTAAATCGAGTATGTGAGCTGCGCAATCCTAACAAGATGAAGGAAAAGAACATGGGTCGAGGAAGTCGTGCGCTAAACCAAATTAAGGAGAAAAGGGCGTATGTGGACAGAGGGGCATTTTAGTCTTTTTACATGGATCGAAACCGAAACTAGGTTGCATCTTCTCTCTTTTGTTCTTCACGGTCTACATCTAGATCGAGTATGTGAGCTGCGCAATCTTTCTCGTTGAGTGATATCTGATGTATCAATAATATGCATCTTCCCTCTTTCGTTCTTCATGTTCTACATCTAGATCGAGTATGTGAGCTGCGCAATCCTAACAAGATGAAGGGAAAGAACATGGGTCGAGGAAGTCGTGCACTAAACCAAATTAAGGTAGAAATGGGCGTATGATGGACGGAGGGGCATTTTAGTCTTTTTACATGGATTTAAACCGAACCTAAGATTATTTATATCATGATTTTAGATACCCATTTGGAAATTAAATGGATTTGTTTCATTTTTATTTAAAAGGAAAGGCAATTATTTTGTGAAAGTTAGCCACAAACTCAAAACAATTTCCTCCCATATTATCAGCATCAAAAGTAGGCTCTATTAATATTACCAAGTCCAACAAATATAACTCCTTTTGATCCAAATCAAACAAATTCTAGATCCAACATCTTGTTCCACAACTATGGGAAACACCAAAAGCAACAACAAGAACAAACTTGAAAATTCTGAAAAAAAACCTGTCTCTTCACTTTGGTCCAGATCCTCTACACAACATCATCGTTTCACAGCCTTCCTAGGAGGACCAAGAAACACTGCTGTTTGGATTTTCCTCATTGTCTTCATCCTCTATGTTTTGTACTCCACCAACATCTTCACGGTCGACCGCCGCGAAGAGTGTTCGACCATTTTCGACTCCTCGACCGAAGAACATTTACAAACACTAGCCAACGTCTCTTCAACCACCACCACCACCACCAACAACAACAACAACAATAATTTTCTCCTTTTCGACGATGAAGAAGAAGAAGAAGAGGAAGAACAAGAACAAGAAGAAGAAGACCAAACGATAACCGACCCACTTCGTTTGAAGTCGCGACCCAACGACGCGGGGTTGAAACACATCGTTTTTGGGATTGCTGGGTCCTCGAATCTATGGGCGAAGAGGAAAGAATACATAAAGTTATGGTGGAGACCTAAGCAAACGAGAGGGGTTGTTTGGTTGGATAAAAAAGTTTATACTAGAAGAAACGAAGGGTTACCCGATATTCGGATTTCGAGTAGCACGTCACGTTTCAAATATACGAACCGACAAGGACAAAGATCCGCATTGCGGATTTCGAGAGTTGTTTCGGAGACTTTTAGGTTGGGGTTGAAGGATGTGAGATGGTTTGTGATGGGGGATGATGATACCGTTTTTATTGTTGAGAATGTTGTGAGGGTGTTGTCAAAGTATGATCATAGGCAGTTTTATTACATTGGGAGCTCATCTGAGAGTCATGTTCAAAATATATACTTTTCTTATGCAATGGCTTATGGAGGGGGAGGGTTTGCAATAAGTTATCCATTGGCCAAAGAGTTGGAGAAGATGCAAGATAAGTGTATTCAACGGTACGATCGGTCGTAGTTTCCTTTTTTTAGTTTCGGAGATGATATCATTAATCTTTAAGCATATTTGAATTGATAGGTACCCTGGTTTGTATGGAAGCGATGATCGAATTCAAGCGTGTATGGCTGAGCTTGGAGTGCCACTTACTCGAGAACCAGGGTTTCATCAAGTATTTATAATGGGCTTTCATGGAAATTTGTTCTTTATTGTCGTTATGTTATATCAGGTTTGTTGTTTATTGTTCTTGTGTTGCTTGGTGTAGTATGATGTGTACGGAGATCTACTCGGACTGTTAGGAGCTCATCCAGTGACTCCATTGTTATCCCTTCACCACCTTGACGTAGTAGAACCAATTTTCCCTGGAATGACTCGAGTGAAGAGCCTTCAACGTCTATTCCAAGCGTCAAAACTCGACTCGTCGAGTATAATGCAACAATCAATTTGTTACGATAAGAAACGTTATTGGTCAATTTCTGTTTCTTGGGGGTACGTAGTGCAAATCTTAAGGGGCGTAATGTCACCAAGAGAGTTAGAAATGCCCACAAGAACCTTCCTCAATTGGTACAGAAGAGCAGATTACACCGCTTACGCTTTCAACACTAGACCTGTAACAAAACACCCTTGTCAAAAGCCTTTTGTTTTCTACATGGGAAGTACCCGTTACGATCCAGCTAAAAAACAGATCATTGGTGTGTATGTTCGTGAAAAGTCTCGTCACCCGTCTTGTCGTTGGAAAATGCCCTCGCCCGACAAGCTTCACTCTATCATCGTCGTCAAGAAGCCCGATCCTTATCGATGGCAAAAGGTAATACACGATTAAACGTTTCAAGTCATCACTACTGTAACTAAGTGAATAACAATGTTCAAATTTGCAGTCACCAAGAAGGGATTGCTGCAGAGTTCTTCCATCACGTAAGGCCACCACGTACTACTTATCAGTGGGAAACTGCCGTGGAGCTGAGATTAGTGAAGTTGGTTGAGGACAGAACTGGTCTTTTTACAATGTCGTTATGTTTCAACTTCTCAAATAGTAAAAGGAGAGAGAGTTGTAATTAGTCAACTGAGAGAGAGAGAGAGAAGGTTAAACATTTTGTTTTCTTTTATTTATTTATTATTTATTATTATTATTATTTATATTTGGGAGATAATATGCTACAAAAAGGATTATTTTCTTTTAATTCAGTCTCTTAAAGTTAAAATTTTTATATATTTTAATCATCTTTTATTAATTCAAAATTTTAAAATAATAATTTATTTATTAGATATAAATTTTAATTTTAATTTTGTATATACAATATATTATGAATTTTAAATAATTTAAAATTAATAAACTAAATTTATAATTTAATAATTTTTTTTTACTCCGACAAAAAGTCAATTTTGTCTTTATAATAAATATAAATTTAATAATTGTTGCATCTTTACCCTCTATTCAATTCTGGTTAATTAGTCTACTAATTTTAACAAAAAATATATATATAAAAAAAAGAAAAATCTATAAACTTGTTAATTTAGTAGGTTAGAAACAAATTAATTATTAAATAATTTTGTCAAATCTCATGAATTTCAACAAAACAAAAATGTTTTTTTTATTTATTTGATGAACTTTTCATAATACATATTGCATAAATTATTAAAGGAGAATACATTTATTTCAAACTAATATTTAATAAATTTTTAAAATTGAAATATTTTTTTAAGTTTATAATTTGATGAAATTAAAATAAAAAATATAAAAAAAGTTTGGAGGTCAAAAAAAATCTTGATTTTGTCTTTTAGTTGTTGGTCAACGGCCTCTTGGTTCTGAATGGGTGGAAAGGAAGAGGGTGTCGTTGAGCTCGTTCGCAGAGGATTTATTTTTGGAGGGAATTATTCTCTGTTGCGCTTTCCCATACTCTCCTGTAGGCCGCCCCGATCACCGTTCAATATTCAATCCCGAGGTAAAATCAAATTAAAAAAATAATAATAATAAAAAGGAGAGAGTTGACAAAGTCAAAGTTAGGTGGGTCCCTGTACACGAAATCGTCCTCTTTTGTTGGGACCCACTTGCCGACATGTTTTAATTTTTCTTTAAATATTTTTTTTCTTAAAACTTTATAAAATAACTCGTTTGATTAATTTCGTTATTATTTTTATTATTGATTATTTAACAAATTGTTATAATTAAAATAAGAAACTAAAACTATTTTCTGAGCTATAAAAATTAATGTCAATTTTAAAAGTTTAAGGACCAAAATTAAATGTTTGATCTTTCAAACCAAACCCAATGGCACGAAAAGCAAACTATACTCGAACATAAACTCACAATCTAAGAAACAAAACTATGTTTTAGTATTAAACCATAAAAATAATACCAGGAAGAGCAGCAAACATATGCAAATAACATTTTAGGCAGTTAACGAAACTGACTACTACTACTTTAAAAATTGACTATATGTAATAGCTCAAACCCACCGTTAATAAATATTGTCTGTTTTATCTCGTTACGTATCACCGTCAGTCTCACGGGTTTAAAGCGCGTCTACTACCCTTATAAGGAATGTTTTGTTCCCCCCTCTAACTGATGTGAGATCTCACAATTCACCTCTTGGGACCAGCGTCCTCGCTGGCACACCGCCCAGTGTCTGGCTTTGATAACATTTGTATTCGCTCAAACCCACCACTAACAGATATTGTCTGCTTTTGCCCGTTACCAGCCTCACGGTTTCAAAATGCATCTACTAGGGAGAGGTTTTCCGCATTCTTATAAGAAATGTTTCGTTCCCTTTTCCAACCGAGGTGGGATCTCTTACAATCCACCTCCCTTGGAGCCTAGCATCCTCGCTGGTACACCGCCCGATGTCTAACTTTGATACTATTTATAACAGCCCAAAACCCACCACTAGCCGATATTGTCCATTTTGGCTCGTTACGTATTGCCGTCAGCCTCAAGGTTTTAAAACGCATCTAACCTCACCCTTATAAGGAATGTTTAGTTCTCCTCTCCAACCGACGTGGGATCTCACATCACCTCAGCGTTTGAATGCATAATTTCAAACATCATGCAGAAAATTGGAAGACAATGATCAAGTACCTCGGTTATAAGCCCCAGTTGTTACGCATAATCTTTACCAGGGAACAGTGGCTCCCTCCTTAGAATTTCCATGAGAATACATCCAACAGACCAAATATCTATGGCTGCAGTGTATTCATAGGTGTTAAGTAGTAGCTCAGGAGCTCGATACCATCTGGTTACAACATATTCTGTCATAAAATCCGTCTCTGATGTTGTTCTTGCTAATCCAAAATCACAAATCTTGAGGTCGCAATTTGCATTGAGAAGCAGATTGCCTGGTTTTAGATCTCGGTGCAAGACATTTGCAGAGTGTAAATACTTCAAACCTCGTAGTAACTGGTATAAGAAGTACTGTCCAAACAACAAACATAAAATCATTCAAGACAGTTTCAAATCTTTCTTGTTCCTCCAACAAGATCATAATCAACATAAAAACTTTGTACTAAGAATTGAAACAAACTTTTGCTAAGATCTAACTGGAATGGTAAGTGTCCCTTACCTGACAGTGATCGTCTGTTAGAGCTTGGCTAGAGCAAATGATCTGATGCAGGTCAGTGTCCATTAATACATACACAATATACACATCATTGAATTTTTCCTTTTCTGGTGGAGGAATTATATCTTTGATCTTTATAATCTGAAAGGAAGTTAGAAACAGATCATTATGCTTCAATGGCAGAATGAAATAAGTCCCCAGGGCAACTAAACATTAACTAAATCTGTTCATGGCATGAGAAAAACAGAGCTGAAGTAGAAACATATAAATAAAAAGTTCAAAATTAAACACTAATTAAGCTGAAGTTCAACCTGGATATGAGGAATTTGCTAAGAACAAATCACAGCAATAAATGGATGTTAAAGCATAGCAAAATTTGCACCCAAATGAAGAATGTTTATTTGAGCGAAATACATTTTCATGGTCCATATGGCATAGAAGTTTAATCTCACGAAGAGTTCTCTTGGTATCAACCCAGTTATCAAAAGCATTCCCTATCTTCTTTATCGCAACCTCATCTTTCGTCTCCGAATTCGTCGATGATCAAAATCTTAGCATATACCAAAATAAAATCGAAGAACTTAGAAGCAAAGCGAAAAACGAAAGAGGAGGAAAAGAAGTACCAAACAATGGCGTAAGCACCGCGTCCAACAGGCTGAATTGAAGGGGAGTACTTGGCGGAGACCTCAAATAAGTTGCCGAGAACGTTGTAGAGGATGTACCTTCCATCGTAGGTGGGAAGGCCATTGATCTCCACAGCCGTGCAATCGTTTTCCATGGTTCTTGGCCGTGGAAGCGAGTAAGAGAAGCAGACGATCTAGGGAAGAAGAAGAAGAAGAAGAAGAAGAAAGAGCGCCACCATCTCATCTGCCATTTTACTTTGCGCGTCTTTCCAAACATTCAATTTTGAATTTTTTTTTTTTTCTTTTTTTTTTTTTCTTTCAAAGGAATATATTTGGGTTGAGTTTGGATTTAAATAAATGAGCCCTATATCCCACATCGGAAATTCGCAAATGATAATATCATTATTTAAATAAAAAGATGTGGGCACTAGGGCACGACCTTACTTGAACAGGATCTGTTCTATAGGTTGTACAACTGTGTCCTTGAGTTCTAAGGAGACAAGAACCTAAGTCTGGTGGATGATTTGCTGCTGTGCGACTAGAGCGTGACTAACGGCTCATGGGCTTCCGGTCCTGCGGCTGTAGATGATCGTTCTCGGGCAGGCTTGCCTTCCTGGGTTGGTCGCGCGGTGGTCTGACAGACTCAAAATCTCTTTTGCTCTCTCTCTCTATCTCCTTTTGGTTTTTCTTTTTGAATCTGTGCTGTAATGGAAACCCTTTGTTTCGAGAGTGAAATCTAAAGAGATCTGTTGGTTTGGAAGTGGGTAGAGTGATTAGAAGTTGGGTGTATCTGCGTTGTTCTCTCTGCAGTGCTCCTTAGCTGTTTGATGAAAAGCCTCACAGACCTGCACTTGGCCTCTTCATCTTCAACCCAATGGAGGTGGATGAGGTCGAAGCCACGGTACATTTTAACCCAACTTTGCGTTTTTGCTTCTTTCAATTGTTAACTTTGGAGATGAGTAAATTCAAACATATGATTAGTTGACAGTAAAGATCAAAATGTACAAATATTAGTGTTGTTGATTTACAGTTGAAAGAGTGATTGTTCTCATGCTTCCACTTTTAGAAATTTTAGTTTTGTTTCTCTTTTTCAATTTGTAATCAAATACCCAAAAAAAAAAAATAAAAACAACTTAACCATTAATTTTCATGCTCTGGGACGAGACGAGGCGCGCTATGTCAAATATGTGGGTAAATAATGTCTATATAAGTGGATATACAAGATTGGAAGTTTTCCTCATTCCAACAAGTATTAGTGCACTCCTCGCAACACACTATAGCATATATCAGCCGTGTTTTGACAAATATAGAACGAATTACCTTGATGATCAAGAGTAAAGAAAATTCGTGATTCAAATTACTCTACAAAAGGTTTAATCAATAACACTTGAAGTTCTAAATACCAGTTCTAAATACAGGAATTTGTAATGAAAAACTTAGCTAAAATAAATTATATTCTCAACTCCAAAATCTGATGTCTCTAATCAAAGAAAAGAAGGCTTCCTTTAGTGATAGGTAACTCCCTCATAGCCTCCTGACTAGTTAACGGTGGAATATAGTAACTTTGGGTTACAATATAACTTTTAACTCCTATATTTAAAACTAGTTTAAATATGACAAACAAATAGTCAAATTATAAGTGCAATAAATAAAATATGCTATAAATTTAGCTGAGCTCATGTTCATTAAATGCAACTTAAAATGCATTTAATTCATCTTTTTCTTGAAGCTCAACTTTGCACAACATATAAGAGAGATCTACAACGTCTTCTAGAATTTCTTACGATGAGCTCACCATAGCTTGAATATAAGTATATAAAGTTTGTTGTAGCTTTTTGATTCTCGTCCTTGTAATTGGACCTTGACATATGAAAATTCCTTGGTCGTGGTTCATATCAGTTTAAACCATAATAATTGATCTACTTTCACTCGGCCTAAAAAAATTCATCGCAATCTCTATCTATAGTGACTAACAGATACGGTTTGGGAAGTGGAGAAGATTCTGATACTCAAGCAGCACTATCTGCTTCTTCTAACAGTGAATACCTTTCAAGTGTTGCAACAGTCTGCTCCTTGGCACTGCAAATGTAGAATCAACATTATTATGATACACACCATTGTTTGAGTCATTCGACGAAAATAGAAGAATCACAAGAACAAACATACCTTCCAGCTCTGATTATCTTAAACGTCCCTCGCTTGGTGAGGTCGATAATCGTAGAACCTGCTCGTCCAGCAGGAAGAATGCCACCATCGTAGACATAAGCACAGTGTTGCCATAGGTTTTCAAAATCATGAACACAGACACTGCTTGGTTGTCCACTTAAATTAGCACTTGTAAGAGCCAATGCTGTCCCTGATCTACGGGAAATAAGCCTAATGAAGTCAGCGTCGGGTACTCGGACTCCTATACTCTCCAATCCAGGGTTCAGAGACTTCTCAAGAATACTCGACTCGCCTACAAAAAATCTAAATGTAAAAAACTCAGACTACAGGAAGGTTAGAGACTAAAATCTAAATGAACATATTCTTGGATATGTAGGTGTGACAGTCCAATCCATTAATAAGGGATATGTCAAATTAATATCTTGTTTCCATAGGGAGAGGACCCCTCCCAGAGTACTCTTTAGCATTTAAAAAAAATTAAAACGGTTTAATCAACGTAAGAACAGAATATCCAAAAGATTGTTTCAACCCGCCCAACAGAAGCCGAGTACGCTACCCAAAAAAATAGTTACTCGTCTACTTTCTTCAATCAAAGAATGCTCGTCAAGGTTACATTATCAAAAGAAAGAGATTTGTAGTACAAACCTCTTTTTAGTACAACGGTCACCGGTCCTGGAAGGAGAGAATCGAGCAAACCATGAGGCAAATGGTCTGCTACAGCAAAACGAGTTATGTCAGAGACATCGCCAACACAAATGGCGAGAGGGCTCGTAAGTTTACGTCCTTTAATTTCGTAAATTCTATTGACTGCTTCAGAAGAACTGCAAAATTAATCCCAACAGAAACCACAGTTACATAAATGGAGAGTGCAACATTATTAAGTTTAGAAATGGTTAATTTGTGCATATAATTTCACAGACAGGATAACACCTCCAAACTAGGAAAGAAGAGCGTTTTAAAAGATTGAAAAATTATTCTAAAAGGATGCATAATTGATAACCATTTTTAGATCCTGAAGAGCGTGGAAACAATTATGTTTTAACACAATGATGAATTTGATAATCATCCCTCAATCTTATAACATCATATCACTATGTTGTATTTTCCTCAGAATCTAATCAGTAATGCAATTATTCTACCAAACATTCAGACTTCTCACAATCCATTATTAATCAAAGATCAAGAATTAGAAGAGAGTTCACTTAGCACCAAAACCACTCTTCTAGTATCAAAAATAAACTCGACCACACCCTCCTTCAACATTCACACTTCCACTTGCAAAGCAACAGATTCCTTAACCATCTTCTCAAAAGAAAAAGATGTCCAAGCGATGAGAGAAGGGTAAGGACATTAAAAGAGTGGAGGAAAGTTCAAACTCCGCAACAAAAGTACTCCTAGTTTCTCCTTGAAAATTATCCACTCGTTTTCGTCCGTGCCTGTGAAATAAAGAACGAAGACCTTCCCATGAAGAATCTCCCAAGCTACTCTGCAACATTTTCCCTTAGTATTTAAAACTAGCTACACCCGTACCGAAGCCTCTGTAAGACATCTTTTCCTGAAGAAGAGCCCCTTGCTTGGCATGAAACTAAATTGTAGCAAAGCGATCCTTCACGCCACTGCCACCTAGTAACAGTACTAAAGAAGATGACCTCCCCCTAGTTCTCTCCCTTACCACCACATTTCTCCCAGAAGACTATCTGCCAACTCGAAAAAGTCTCTCGATCCTAGCAACCATGAGAGACACTCATGCGTCATACGCTAAAACGAGCTTGGGCAACGATCAACTATTCCCACTCGCCACAATCAGGGGTGCAAAATCATCGTGTGAAGCTAAGCCAAAAACATCGTGTGCGGTCAAACAATTGTCTCTTCGTTGAATAGGGAGAATTCATAAGGCGTCTCATCTCAATGAAAGGCAAACATCGACTAGCGAGAGTCAAACAACCATGTGCCACCCACGCTCATACGACCAGTACTCCTGACTCAACCAAGATCTTTAACCAAAAACCTTTATACTAAACAAGATCACAAAGACCATCCTCTATTTTTAAGAAATTTTGGAAGAATCGGAGGTTCTTTCCCACCTACACCTACCATGAAGACTTCATCTTAAGAAAAATCTATATTACAATTGATAAAACTCCTTCATAGTTGGCAAAAAGAAAAGAAACTCACAAAATAGAAAAGGAAATTACAGAAACAACCCATTAAAAGGAATGCATACCAAGCATCACAAGCGAGTCCGTAAAGAGTATCAGTGGGGACTGCAATAACCTTCCCAGCCTTAAGAGCTTCAATAGCTTCTTGAGCAAAAGCTTCAGAGGCAGGGCGAAGAGCTTGCAAACTGTTCTCCACGCGCATACTACATTTTTCCAAACTCCATACCGTTTTAGGAAAATTCAACCTCGATCCTCTATTGTGATGCAAGAACGAAACAAATCCATAACTCGGAGCACCTAAAATTGCAATTAAGTGTATAAATTCATGTTTGAATCCTCCAATAATCATACAAAACAGTTAAAAAAGCGTTAAAAGATTAAAGCAAACCTAGCTGAGAAGAAGGAAACGTTGCAAACGTTCTGATTATAGAGAGACCCTCAACCATTTTCGCCGGAAGTGTGTTCATCGTGGTCGGCAGCATAGCAGCCGCTGTCAACTCGAGCCCTAGTTCCAACCGTCGTCACCAAGAAGCCAACCCCAAGCGGGGTTTTGCAGAAAAGGACCAAACTCTGTTTAAAATAAAATAAGAAACTTCGTACATTTATTAATTTAGTTTCTAATTTGGTAAAAAAAGAAAAAACTTTTATCCACCAAATAAAAACAGTAAATTGTTTTTAGAACCATAAATTAATATAATTTGTTTCAAAAACATTCTTGCAATATTTCAAAAATACTTACTACTTTTAAATTTTAGTTAATACTTTTCATCTTTTAAAAAAAAATTTAAAAATATTATTGTTGGATGATGAAAGTCCCACGTCCCAGAATGATCATGGGTTTATAAGGGAAGAATACTAACTCCATTGTTACGAGGCCTTTTGGGAAAACCCAAAGCAAAACCATGAAAAACTTATGCTCAAAGTCAACAATATCATACAATTGTGAAGAGTCGTGTTACATGGTATCAGAGCTATGCCCTAAGCTTAATCGTACCAATAGATTGGTACTCCAAAAGAAAAGGAGCCAAGCCTCAAGCCTCCTCGAAGGCAGTAAAAAATGACTAAGACTCCAAAAGAAAGGGAGTCGAGCCGAGCCTAGTAAAATATCTTTAGCCTAATATAAGGTTGTTATGTATATTTATTGGGTTTATGCATTGACCAGTCAAATCTATTTTATTTTAGAATGACCCATCAAACTCGTGACTTTTTTTTTTTTTGGTTCGGGTTACAAAATTTAATTATTAAATGAGGATTATTACTTACAAAAATATATAAATTTTGTCATGGTCATTGCATGCCTACGTCATTTTTTAAATTTTAAATTATAGGTACCTCATTATTTATTATATAATCGTCTATCTCTTCCACATCATTTAGCCAAAAAGCTGTCACGTCACAATTTAATTAGAATTTTCCAAAACAAAAAAATCAAATTCGAAATTTATTATAAAACTTTCAAACTTTATTAAATAGTAGAAAGTTTAGCCAAGCTTCCATGAAGGTTTGACTTTGACAAGAATAAATTTAGAAAATAATTAATGTTAATAATTAAAATTATATTTAACAGAAATTTAAACATTATAAAACTGGAAAAGGCCATACGACACGTAAGCAGCAAAGGTGAACTATTGAACATGTACTCCCATTATTTGTTTAACATACTCAAACGTCAAATAAATAAAATAAAATAAAATAAGGGGTAAGAAAGGAATTTCACTTTAGCACGAGTAAAATTCAACGAATATAATGAAGTATGACATCAACCAAAAGTCTTTCACTTACTCGAATTTTAATCCTTAAATTCACAAATTTATGTCAACCTGCATTTATTTGATAAAATCATTTAATAAATTTATATTTAATAGGCCTTAAATATATTTATTATTATTATTATTTTTTGTATGTATGAATTAAATAGAAAATAATTACGCACCATTAAAATTTTAATTTTTCATAAACTTTGTTGTTTAATAAAGAATGGAAGATATAAAAATAAAGTATAGCATGGACCAAACCAAATATATTAAAATTGCAAGGACTAAAAAGTAAATAATTGATAAAGTATTAAAACTTTCGAAATAAAATAAGGATTTAAAAAATTAAAATATTGAAAAATACGTAAGCGTGACATCCACAGAATGACGTAAGCAAAATTGTCAAGTGAAAGTATTGGAACAATTTGTACGGTAAAAGAAGGAAAAAGAAACCATAATTAATAAATAAAAAAATGGAGCAATGATGGCGTGCCACGTAAGCCGACCGCTAAGTTATGGGATATCTCTTGTATATTATTATTAAAAGAAAAAAAATAAGAAGAAATATAATGCCTTCCATTGCAAGTTTACTTTTAAATATTTTAAGTTTGTGTTTGAATAAAATTTTCAAATTTGTTTCTATTTAATTTAAAATTTTAATAATATTCAATATACTTTTAAATAAAATCTAAATCTTTTTGCCACGTATAATTGACTCGAACTTCAATGCTTTAGATAATAAATAATTATCCGAGAGAAAAACTCTAAAAAAATAATTAACATTTTTTTATAGAGACGTAAAAACCACTACTAGTAAAAATACATTTTAAAATCGTGAGATCAACAGTAATAGACATTAGTGGTAGGTTTCAATTGTTACATACCTAAAGTTAAAGTTTGAACTCGGATGGCTCGGAAATAACATAGTAATTTAACTCTTTTTTAAAAACATAAATTCAAAATAACAAAAACAAATTATATAATTTATAAAAGCATGTTTGACATATCTTAGAAATCAACGGCCATTATCTTCGCAACATGATTGACTTCTTAACATATGAATCAATAGACGCTTAATGAACACGGAATTGAAAGGACAAGGCCGTTTGGTTATGCAAAAAAAAAAAAAAAAAAGATTAAGATATCTGTATTTTTTTAGATCCAACCAATCGAAGAACACAAAATCCGAAGACGAACCGACCAAAAATCCTCTGATTCGAAAAGTAAACAGAGCAGGAAAAGCGATCGGAGAAGAGATTCAATGGATGATTCAGAAGAACATTCCAAAATCGAAATCACATTAACCAAAATCCACAATAAATTTGTTTATATACAGAATCGAAATCTTCGTCTCCTCTACAATATACAATTAACAACAACAAAAACAACAGAAATTGAAAAACAGAAACAATAATTCGTCGCAGCGGATGGAGAACGAGACCTCCAGAGTAACCGATCAGTGAGCGAATTCATAACGAACTCGCTCACTCGTTATGACTCGGAAATCACATTAACCAAATTCCACTCTAAATTGTTTATATACAGAATCGAAATCTTCGTCTCCTCTACAATATACAATTTAACAACAACAAAAACAACAGAAATTGAAAAACAGAAACAATAATTCGTCGCAGCGGATGGAGAACGAAACCTCGAGAGTAACCGATCAGTGAGCGAATTCATAACGAACTCGCTCACTCATCATGACTCGGACTGAACTTCCGAGTTGTAGCCACTGGAATTCGTAGCCGGAGTGATCGGAGACGAAGTTAGGGATTCGTTTTTTCTCCGATCACTTTCGAATCCTTCCGGCATCGGTTTACCTGTTCTGAAGATGCTTTTGAAGATCCCGATCAGGATCTGACCTCGTCTCGGCGGCAGCTCCGAGAATCGCCGCTTCGGTGCTTTGGAATCCATTGATGGAAGTAGAGTTAAGAGGAGTAAGAAGTTGCAGTAGCGGTGGGAGGAGGCGGCGCTGGAGATGGTCTGAAAAGATAGAAACTGGGGAATTATGAGAATATTGAATTATAAATGAATCAGGAAGCTTAAATAGGGGGGGTGGAAAAAGGGCGAATTGGGTATTTCGCCCTTACATTAGCTTGTTTATGAAGGCTTCTAGAATGAGAGAGGGGGCATTTTGCAATTATTGGAAATTTAGGGGTCATAAGACGGGGAAAGTTGTTAAAAGTTGTTATAATTAAGTTGCATAGAGTGGGGTAGCCTTGTCGGAGAATTGGTGCCACAGTGGGCTCTTTTATCCTTAATGAGTTTTTTTCACTAGCCTGATTAACTGTATTGAAATTTTGTACGATATCTATTTTTTAGACTACGTGATTGACATGATATACAATAATTTTGTGGTAATTACGAGTTATGTGATGAGATAAAATGTCGCACAAAAGTAACCAAACGAGGTGATCACGTCACTCAGTGTAGAAGTGGACCTATGTTTTATTTCTTGGTTCCAAAATAGGGATCAAACTGCTCGGAGCATCACAAAGTAGCATATGCATCTCTATGTTACGTGAGGATGAGCGATTTTGGTGACAACTTTGTTCGAGGTTCTTTGACATTAGTAATGAGCCAATCACGTGTATTCCCCTTCTTGTCTTTGATTGTCGATGCCCTTTTAGATTGTCTTTTCTAGTTCTAGCGTTGTAGGCATCATTTAACTCATCTTTGAATTTGATGTACATATTTACTCGAAATGTTATTGTCGAAATCTAAATAAGAAAAACATAACATATCTTCATGTGACAACGATGTAAACTTATTTGACTTGGGGGACAATATTATTTGTAAAAGATAATGAAATTGCATACCAATTTGGTGCTTGTCAGACTTGCTCCATTGTTTAACCCTCTTTGGGTTAAAAGAAAAAAAAATTTCAAGTCTTTTAGGAATTTTCTCGTTTCATTCATATTTTAAAATAAAATTAACATGAGCCAAGTTGAACTGAACACATGAACTCCACGGTCCGGGACATATGTAACCATGGACCCAATTTTCTCATCTCGAGGCTCGATCATGGGAAGGATTAGAGACATAAAAAAAAACACGTGGTCTGTGATTGCCCTATTGGAGGATTGATGTGAGGAAGACTTTGTGTGATTGGTAAACATTAATTTGATGTTATTATTGGAATTTTAAAGGCTAGACCAACCGTAATTACTCTTCGATCAATTACACACATCGAAGATGGTTTGGTTAAGGTATATGTATATAAGTCCTATGTTTTTCATCGTATGAATATAAATATTCATTTTCTCTACGGTAAGGATATGCTGATTGATGTGTAAAAAGAGTCATTGAAAATGAATGTAACAACCGAAGTTCACCGCTAACAAATATTGTCCACACCCTTATAAACGGTGTTTCGTTCTCTTTCTCAACTAATGTGAGATATCACAATCCACCCCCTTGAGGACCTAGTGTCATCGCTAACACTTGATCTTTCTCTAATTGATGTGGGACCCCCACCAAATCCACCCTCCTTTTGGGCCCAACGTCCTTACTTGGGCCCACCACCCCCCTCTTATTGACACTCGTTCCTTTCTCCAATCAATGTGAGACCCCTATCAAATCCACCCTCCGTCGAGGCCCAGCGTCCTCGCTGACACTTGTTCCCTTCTCCAATCAATGTGCGACCTCCACCAAATCCACCCCCCTTCAGGGCCCAACGTCCTTACTTGGGCCCACCACCCTCCTCCAAGGCCTAGCATCCTCGCTCACACTCATTCCTTTCTCCAATCGATGTGGGACCCCACCAATCCACCCCCTATGGGGCCTAGCGTCCTTACTTGGGCCCACCACCTCCTTCAG